GCCTCACTCTGACAAACTTCCGGATCGCAGCGACAACCCCTCTTCCAAGCCTGGTCATTCCCTCAAGTCACAACGTCTCACTCTTGATCAGACTGTCGTTGCGCATGCTAAAGCGGCAACGTTTATATAGCGCACACCCCCATGTGCTCTGTTCAAAACGAGAATAGGACACAACAATATCCCCCCAAAACCTGCACGTACAGCAGCCGTGCGCAGCAGCCCATCAAAGCACGGCCCCCAGACAACACAGACTGGGTCCCGCGCCAGGCAGGAGCCTGCCTGTTTGTGTGCACAATCAGAAATGTACAGTCACGGCCTCCCACCAACAACCTGCTTACACTCAAACCTTCTTCAACAGTTCACGGCAGCGGGCAATACACTTTTGCACAAGCTTTCTCCATTTTGCAGACCAAGCATACACCGACTCTGTCGCTCCTCCGTCATACGCAGACTCTCGGTATCTGCTAATCCAGCCTCAGTCAGACCCCGCGCTCAACCCTGCGGCTGAGGGAGCCATTTATAGTTCAAAATGTACAGCTTTCACTCTCAGACTTGTGTAGCCCGCAAGGCTTGGCTCTGTAGGCCGCAGATAAACTCCTTCGAGGATAAACTTCACGAGCAGGGCCTGAGCAGATCACAGTCCAACCCCGTTCGCAGCATCCGCACACTTGGTTGGCCATAAGCAACACTCCGTTTTGCAGTAGCAGCCACACTTCAACTGCTCAACAACAGCGGTTCTCAAAAACACAGCGGTAGTGCTGGTAGAGAACGTGGCAGTAGTAGATCTCGAAGACTAACACTATGTTGCAGTGGCGAGTTGAAGAAACTCTCGGCCTGTCCGTCCTCGTCCAAACCAACCATTCCACCAACTAGGAACAACCATGCACCACACCCACATAATCAAGAAAGAACTCTCAATATGTCCATCCTTGCTATGCCCGAGTTTGGAGTCTATTGCACGGTATTGCAACCTTGTGCCACTCACTCACCCCTTACCTTTCCCGCTTCTCTCTCTCTCTATCTCTCAAGTGCGCAATTGCATGTGTTGTCCTCCCTCCTGACATAGGCCGTCACTTAACTGTGGAATGTGAACGGACCTCCAGCTAAAAGGCAGCAAGGTGCATTGGCTTGGTGGAGGCGACCTCAATGATGAGCACCCGGATGAAGCTGATCAGCAAGATAATGGCACCGGTTGGGATCACCAGTGGGATCTCATCGCCGAGCAGGGTCGGGATCGAGAAGGCCAACCACAGCAGCAACGTGATTACTCGCCGACTTAGCACAGCCACGATGACAATGGTCCATGATAATGACGACGACAATCAGCTACTCTCCAAATGTGCAAAAATAAGAGTGAATCTTTCGATAAGACATGGGAAGATGCACCTACATCTTGAAAAATGAACCTCCCGCTCAATCATGACAAGGTGCATAGCGCTCCCCCACACTTCAACATGCCTTGCAGACGGGAAGGTGATCGCAAGTCTAATGTATGCGATCACGCAAAGCACCGCTATGATGTAAGTTCTACCTGGCCCTCTCCTTCACACACCTCTCTCTACTACCTCTTTCTTCACCGTCATCCACCTCTCCTTTCTCCAATCTTCTTCTTGATTCTTACTCTCGTTGCATTTCCCTGCATCTTGCCGCCGTTCCTGTCCGAATTAGTCCGCCCTTGCTAACTTTCTCTCTCTCAGACTCACCTCCTATATGTCTGCGCCTCTTCTCCCTTTCCTTCATGACCACATCTTCTACCACCCATATTTGACTGCACCCCACGACGAAGTACATCAGCTTGGAACTTGCCAAACCGTAGAGAAGACAATGACCACCGTGTCGAAAACTATCATGGCGACGAATACTGTAAAGCTTTGGATAACGACAAGCACCAGGATAACAACGCAGATTGCTACAAGCGTGCGCAGGTACGACCACAAACAACAGCAACTTGGCTATGTCGTGATTATGGAGACAATATGACCGTGCGCCTGAAGAAGGTGACCAACGAACCATCAACAGGGTCGTGATTAGGTGAGCGGGCTCCGCCCTACTACTCACCAAATGTGCAAAACGAGAATGAATCCTTCACCGAATCATTGGAGGATTCACCCGCCATCCTCTACCGCTCGCCTGCATACCGTGTTCAGCAACAGCAGGGCATCAGTCGTGACTTGTAGCAACTCAGCTACTACCTTGATGAGCACGACCGGCGGGGTAGCAACAACGTGGTTACGACGAAGAAGGCTTGATCACTATCGAGATGAAAACGAAATGTAAGTGTGAGCATTACAGGCTTCGCTCCACCGTCCACCAAACGCGCAAACGGAGAATGATTGTCCTGCTAGGATACGAGTACATACAACAAATCCTCCGTCAACCGCGAGGC